CTTAAAGTATTTAAAGTAAAAGTACTTGCAGGGTATACTCTGATCCCTAAGCCAGCCTTTCCCTACTGTATATATTGATTTACCTCCACGTCAGCAACAGCCATTTTTGTGAACACAATATCTCAAGAACACCTTGAGGGTATTTCTTTGAATTTGCTAGAAATATTCAGTTGAACTCAAAGATTTTAGATTTTAGTGTTCAAAAAAATGTATGCAGAGTATATAGTTTGATACAAGAATAGTACAGACTCTGTCATATCAGTGAAGACTTGCATTGTCATTTAATTAATGACTGAGTCTCGGCCCTGATTGGTCAGTGGACTAATTCCTTCACCATATTGATTTTTTTAAGTTATGAAAAACACAATGTGAACATTTAGCATAATGCATTGTAAAAATGTAGTAATGTAGAAAATACATATTATAGATACAGATATTTGGTACATTTATGCAGTGGATTGCAGCAGATGCTAAAGAAAAATCACTTATGTTATATGGTTTTCCCATGTGACAAACACCTACATGATGAATTCTTCCCAACGAGTAACTTTTCAAACTAAGTATAGTTTAATGCAAATCAACACTTTTGGATTTTAACTTTTACTCAAGCAAGATTTTGAATGGAATTTCCTGTAAAGATAAAGGACCTTCATTAAACTGTAATCTAAAGAAGTGGAAAAATATTTTTAATATATACAGATTTGCGTGTTTTTCTGATCATTGTCAGTTTTAAGGAGCATGGTAAAGATGTTGAGTTCTGGACTTTCTGCAGGATCTTTTCTCTGCTGCACACTTGGAAAAATGAATCCTGAAGTAGGAGTGCTGATGAGATGAATTAGTGTAATGAGCTGGAATCAGACCAGCACAGGCAGACACATGCCACAGTACAAAGATTCCTCCAACATACCTTGCCGGTTCCAACAGGTAAGCCTGTCAGAAAGTGAATAGTTCATGTTGGGTGGAAATGAGTTCATACCATGGTGTCAAAATGATTAAATGACAATGTGTTTGGAACAATTTTCAAATTAAAGTCTAGTTGCACTAACAACGAACAAGGAACAACTTTAATATACATCTTACTGAATTAGGAACATATGTAAATTGTGGCCCCCTTTATTGACCCTAATTTAGAAAAAGCCCTGATTCGCCACTGCAAGAATAGCACTCAGAGCACAAGCCTCCGCTAAGGCCCAACAATTCCCTTAAATTGAATTTATGCACCAAATTCCAGGGGTGAAAAAAACAACGTCCAATGTGGAGGTAATGATGTAACCTGAATGATAGTGGAATCAATCTTGAAACATTTTATTTGCCTCAGCACATGGAAAACAGGTATGACTCAACCCACTTTAAACATTTATAAATAACAGAAATGTTCATTTGACCTGATTTAACTGTAAATAACACTATAAATCATTACAGGGAAAATTGGACTGAATATTTCATTAAAAACTCATTGCCCACAGCAATCGCACACACACACANNNACACACACACACACACACACACACACACACACACACACACACACACACACACACACACACACACACACACACATGAACACATATAAATATGACATGACATGTAATAATATATCCTTACAGCTCTACCAGTGAAGCTAAAAAAAGTAGTTTAGCCTCAGGGTGGCATAACATATAGAGTTTATAGTTTCATTTGCTGAATCTGCTGGTGAAGCCATGTTGTTGTTAAGATTTTATGTTGGCCTGAGGGTGGCGCTAGAGGACAGTTCATGGATGTGTTTACTCTTGAGCTATGTGTTAAACGTCATGTTGATGATCATCAGAAATGCTTTGCAAAAACAAGCAGAGCCACGGAGACATCATTGAGTTCATAGTTTTCAAGATAGTCGCAGACAAATGTGTTGGAAAGGAGAATTTTTTTTATTGAATTTGAGACTCAAAATTAAATGTTCACCAAGATTATCCGTAATCTGATATATGTGCATACCACATTTCATTGCAGTATCACCAGTGGTTGTTGCTTTGTGTTGTAGTGAACCAAAGCATTGGAGAGAAAAACTGATGTCACACATTCTTTAGGCTTTACCACTAAATTCTAAAAACTAACCAGACATTATCATCACATTTGGCTGTAGGTTATTCACATGGGGAATAATAATGACAGAATATGTTTTATCTCTATAACATCTCTATTACAGAATTAAGAAGAGAGAGAAGACTTGCAGATTTTTATATCTGACACGTACCTCTGAGATAAACCAACACCTGTATCTGTGGCACTGAATACAACATGCATGAAATAATATAAACTAATAGTAATACTTTAAGGTCCAGTTTATATAATTTAGTGGTGAATTTGCATGTTACAGCTGAATACCCCTCACCTTACCCTCCCCTTCCAAACATAAAAAACCTGTGGTAGACTTCAATTTTTATGAAAAGGTATTCAGTTTGTCCAGTCTGGAAGACTGTAAAAAACATGGTGGCCTCTGTAGAGAGACCCCCTTCCGATCTAAATATAAAGTATTTAAATATAAAGGGGCAATTCTAGGGTAAAGAAACAAGAATTCATACAATTTAGATGAAACACACTGATGAGAATGTTGCTAAGATTATTTTATATTCAGTTTCTGCCAATAGATCCCTTTCACCTAAATCTTACACACTGGACCTTTAATATATAAAACTTCATTTGTGTAGCACCTTGGAAAACTGCCATCACAAACAAGAGAAATAAAAACAAGAGTACACAACATCTGAATCCAAACATATGGCTCCAAATATTAGCAGTAGCAGTTACACTAAATTCACTCCAGCATGAAAGATAATACTTACACTGGTGACCTGGCCAGGGTTTAGCCCACCTCTGTCAGCTGGGATTGACTACATGCAGCCCCCCTGAGACCCTAATAACTGTGTTATTATTATATAAATGTATGGTTAAGCACAGAGGAGGCACTATGACTCACTGAGTTATAATTCATGGGGTCTAAATTACTGTTTCCAGTTTATTTCATTATAGATCACAATGTTGTCATTAGGCTGCATCTCATCGAGTGTATAGTGAAGTCATACAACACTAATTACACAGATCATATGACCTCTTTAAAACAAATGTACATCCAGAGAGCACTGCTGGGTGAAATGCACTGATTGTCCTGAGGGTGGCACCAAAAATTAACTCTGGAGCCACCAGCAGGAGAGTATGGGGGAGTGGAGACACCATGTAAACCTTTGAGTTGAGTGATTTTAAATGGAGGACATTTATTGATTTTAACAGTTTGATCGATTGCTCTCCCCAAGATGTGCATTAAGATGGCTAATAATGGGAAATAATGGACAGTGTGTGCAGGGAAACTGCAGACATTGCAGAAGCATGCAAGACGCATAGATATCAAAGAAGGCTTGAGCTCCTGCACCTTTTCTTCCTTGAGAGAAAGTGCCGTTTTCCTGGGGTGCTTCTTTTTTCAAATCAATGAATATTTTACTCCTGTTTGTGCACAGCTTCCCTGTCAACAAGTATATTGATTAAATAAAAAATCCAGATATCAGGTCGGGAGATTGGACTAGTCTCTACCCTCCATCCCTCCATGTCTCTTGCACAGTGCTGAGCACTAGAGCTGTGGACATTTCTTGATGCTTAGATGCTTCGTGACACGTACGACTCTGCATCCATGAGACAGAGACAGAACATAATGATGTTCAACTTTTTGTTCTAAAACTTTTTTTTAATAAATAATTGAAGTGCCCTTTTTCTCACTTGAGCTCCTGGCCCCACAAATGTTTGTGCACGTCCCTGTGCAGAAAAGTACGGTTTAGTTTGCAGTATAATTATTGTAGCAGAAATTTAAATATCACATATTACAATGGGCAGGATTTTTGCGTTCATCCTATTATGAATAAATAGTATCTGCAGTTGATTATTTATATAAGCAGCTCCTGCATGTCTTTAAACTTGTAGGTCTGGGCAGTGTAGAAGGAGCACTCACACTATAAGACAGCGATGGAACAAACACCATTAGATTAAGGGAGTGCAGAGAAAAATTAAGTAAATAAAAGCAGATTGTATCAGTCGTACAGTGAGGACGAAACCGCTCCAGGA